AAACACCCACCGGCGGCCCCCAGCCGACCTCACCCCTAGAGCTGGGTGCCCAGGGGCGGGTGGGCGGAGGCAGGAGCCCCTCTTGCGCGGGGACCTGCAGGGTGAGGCTCTGAGACCTTCCGGGGGCCCTGAGCTGTGCACCATAAGGGGTGGCAGGGCCCCATTCCGGCCCCAGCTTAGGGGCAGAGTCCCGATCCCCCTTTTCTCCCGCCCCCGCTGGTCGCCGAGCACTAGGGCCAGGCTGCGGTCCGTAAGTGGGTGTCTCAGGGTGGGGGTCCCTTCTCAATGGGAACTCCTGAAGCCTCTATTCTCCGGCACCGAGGGATGGGGTGTCTGGTGGACGGCTGGCTGGGGGCGCCTGGGGCCGGGAGCCAGTGGGGGCGGGAGTGCTCCCGGCAGTGCCTCTCCGCTCAGCCCAGCCAGGGACAGGGGTGCTTCCTCCTGCAGGGACTCCCGGGCCTTTGCGTGCAGTGGAGGAGGAGGAGGAGGAAGTGCAGAGGGTAGAGGGCAGAGGGCAGGCCCAGGTGGAGGTGGGCACCCAAGCCATGGGCAGGGCCCCGGGTCCAGCTGCTCTCCGGGGCTGGGGGAGCTGAAAAGGCTGCACCAAAAGGGTCTGGGGGCCTGAGCCCAGGAGGGCTGGGCGGTTGGCATGCATCTGCTCTCAGCTGGCACAGCCGGTTTCTTGGGGGACCCCTGGGGGCAGGAAGGCCCACCCACACTGCGCTTCCCTGGTGCCAGGGCCCCAGGGACTGGTCTGGAGGCATTGCAGGGGTGCCTGTGGAGGGGGTGCCTGTGCAGGGGGAGCAGGAAGTGGCCTTTGTCCTCAGGCCCAGCCCTGGGAGCACGGGCTTCCTGGTTGTCTCAGCGCTGAGCACCCAGAAGGGAAGGCACTCGCCTGCCCTCGCCCCTCCTGGAGGCAAAGCAGCGTCTGAACTCCATGGCCATCGTCGCAGGAGCAACACTGACCGGAGGGCCGGGCCTGGAGTCCCAGGTGGTCGTTGGCCACCTGGAGCCATGGTGTCCCTGCCTTTGTGGCCGAGGTGATGGATGTGCTGAGGGCCCCGCGGGGGCCCGCAGGGGAGGGGCCTGAGCCAGAGGTGGGCCCCCGCGCAGTGGGCTCTTGACCAGGGAGCCCTGGAGGAGTAGGCGGCCTCAGTCAGGAACACTTCAGGGAGGTATACACACTCTTTATTTTAAAAACACAGTGAAGAGAAACTACACACCCACTCGAACATGTTATTCCAACAGAACACGCTCCAGAGGAACACGTGAGGAGTGACGGGAAGGATCAGCTGACAGCAGACCTGGAGCCGTCCGCTCAGTGCAAACGTGACTGGCATTCTAATGGCCGAGGCCCGGACACCTGAGCCTGGAGTGGCTGTCACCTACCCGGGGCCGGGAGAGTGGTGTCGGCTGAGCCAGAGCCCGGGGGCAGGAGCTGCAGGGCCCACAGGCACCCACACCGAGCTGACCGGCTCCCAGCATCTTCCACCCGGGACTCGGCCTGGGCCGCTGAGGATCCGGGACGCCCTGTCCCACCCCTGCTGTTTCCCGTCGTGTGGGCCCCACGGAGCGCAGACCTGTGAGGAATGCTGCCGCAGCGAGAAAGTGTGCGGCCTGGCACACCCTCGAGGGAGCTGGCCAGGCCGGGGGTGCCAGGGGAAGCCCACTGCCACCCGAGGTTTGTCCCCGGGCAGGCCCTGACTCAGCCCGCCCCTGGCCCCATCACCCACACTTGGTTCTGTCCTGGTCCTGCCCCCAAGAAGACGCATAAACCACCCAAAGCACCTGGCAGGAACATGCCTTCCTCCAGGGCTGTCCAGGGCCTCGAGGCGCCCGGCTAGCTGATGAAGGCAGCCATGGCCACCACCTGCAGGATGGCCTCCAGGCCGTGGAGCACCAGGAGCGTGGCACTGAGGACCGAGTCTGCCCACAGCACCAGGGTCTGCCAGAGCAGGAAGTAGACGGACAGCAGGGAACTGGCCACAGTGAGGACCAGGCTGGCAGCCAGGGGCAGCTCAGTCTCTGTCAGGTTGCCCTTGGTGCCTGGAGAGCAGAACAAACATGGTGAGTGCCAGGCCGCGGGCACCTGTTCGGCACCCACCACCGCGTGCACCTGGAGGGCGAGGCTGGGCCAAAGCCAGCGCACACGCACCTCGGAGGGCGCCAGGGCAGGACCACCTACCGCCGGGCTCAGTGTCGGAAAGCAAAACTCACGGGGCATCGTTCTCAGGAGGGCGGGGACCGCCCGCAGCTCTGACCTCACCCTGGCCTCTGGGTCAGCTGAGTGGGTGGGACAGAGGGTCGGGCTCCCGAAAACTATCCCAAGTGCGTTCTCACGCCTTTTCCTAAGGTATTTCCCTCTGGGCGAGGGCCAGAAAAACTAATGTGCAGCTAGAAAAAACAGAACTGCGCCGTTCACAAATGGGGCAACATGGCAGATGCGGATGCCCATTGCCCAGGGCCCGCCGTGGGGGAGCTGGGCGGGGCAGGCGGTTCTACTGCCGCTGGCCACCCTCCCACGGCAGGAGCCTGGTCTGTGACAGCGGACACTAAGGCCCACGTGCTTCTGGCTCCAGAGCGGCCCGCCGGGGGTGTGGCCGGGTGGGACACGCCAAGCCGGGAGGTGCGGGCGAACACGCAGCAGCCACAGTGCTGGCTGGAAGCCGGCCCTGGAGGTGAGCTGGGGAGGGGTGCAGGGCAAAGGGCACGCTGTGCTCCTGCAGAAGCTCCAGGGCCTCCCACCTCCGGCCTGCAGTCCTGGTGGGGACAGACAGACAGGCAGACAGACTGACCGCTGCGGCTTCAGGGAGGGGCGCAGGGGGAGCAGAGCATTTGGCTGTGAGGGGAGGGCTGCTACCCAGCGGCCCCTGCTTCCCACAGAACCCTGTCTCCCAGGACGCATCCAGGACCAAGCTTCTCAATGAACGAATTAATACTTAATTCACTGTAAGCTGAGCCGCCGGCAACTGGCGGAGCACTCGAGCGAGTGTCCAAGTGTCTCCAAGGGCTGCCCTGTGGACACGGCTGCTCAGAGGTCGCGGGGAGCCAGCCGCCTGTGTCTAAGTGCCCGCGCTCCTCGCCCAGGCCACTCACCGCAGTGCCAGCGGGCTGCCTCCAGGGCCCCGGTCAGCAGCAGCAGAGTCAGGTCGAGCACCAGGCGATCCTGAGGGTAACTGAACGCCTGGCCTGCAGGGCGGGCACCCCCAGGGCTCAGGTTCCAGCCGCAGGGCAGCACCCGAGCCCCCGCCCCCTCTGGCTCAGGACTCACTTTTGTAGGCGATCAGCAGGAGCGTGGCCAGGAGGTAGAGGGTGGCGAACGTCCCGCCGAGGCAGAGCAGCATCTGCAGGAGGACTGAGGGGAGCTGGGGAGCCGTTAAGGACTCGTCCTGCAGCCGTGCTCCCCGGGCGCCCACCCAGGACCGGGCG